ACAAACCCAAAGAGCAAAGGATGAAATCATTCACTACATCTCTTTCAAGATCTGCAACCGACCTGACACTGACTGGGCAGATAATACAAAGGAGCGAGTGCTTTTCTTCCCTCTGTATACTGTGGGTGGAACAGAGGACCTTGCTCACACTAGGCAAGTGCTCTCCACTGAGCTACTGAGGCACACTTCCAGCCCCTTTTATATTGAGACAGGGTCTCACTCAGTTGCTCAGGTGAAACCCAAATTTGCAGTTCTGTTGCCTCAGCCTCCCAGAGTGCTGTGATCACAGGTATGTGCCAATGCACCCAGCTTCAATTGTTATTTTAGCTGAATTGTTACATAGTATATTTTTTTATTTCCTTACCTCTTTTTTTTTTTTTTTTTTTTGTACCTGGGATTGAACTCAGGTCTTTGCTCTTGTGAGCAGGCAGCAGAACCACCACTGAGCTAAATGCCCGACCCTCCTTATCATTTTTGAATGTTGATATCAGCAAAGAATTTCCTCCTTTATCTCTAATGATGATGGTACACTATTAAACCAGATGCTTCACACCACTGATGGGTGGGTCTGCCTCAAGTTTATCCAGGCACCATACTCCATTACTACAATGTGGCTGCAGGGTAAATGCATGGGCTTGCAAACAAACCTCAGGTGCCCCTGTGTGACTCTGGGCAGGTCTGTAACAGGGCCAAGGGGCAGCTCCTGCAGGTGCCCAGTGGGTACTCAAAGCAGGGTGAAGCCTGGGCTCTGCCTGCATTTTAGCTGCCTCCACTAATTCCTTAGAACTTTGGTCAGATCCCTGCTCTGCAGGTAGGTGTGTTAATCAAGTATGGATCCCTGTGTATCACAGGGTTTATCAGCCATGGTTTACCTGTTTCATGCACCTTCAAGCCTGAGGGACACCAAGGTAAGAGTAACTACAGCACTTTTCAGGATATGGGGCAACTGTTGCCAGCTTTCAGGTGGACTGTTCCAGACCCCTGCAATGCCTAGAAGTCTCAGTGTTCTAGGAAAAGCAGAGTGAAGTCACCCTTATGTGGGAGCAGTGACCCCATGACACCAACCAGGAGCTATCATCTCACAAAGGAGACTGAATCCTTCCAAGCAATGATGGCCCCCCTGAGGTGGTGACCAACTAGCCCACAATTAATCAGGGTCACTTACCCTTGCCAGCCACGCAACCCCAACCCTGCCCTCTCTTCCCCTTTTCTGTTAAACCCCAAGGTTCCTGTCAGTCCTGGAACACAGCCAGACTGATTAAGTCTCTCTCCTGCCCTTCCCTGAGGTCCATCCTGGTTGGTGGCTGGTGTGGATGGCCTTAGGAGGACTCGTCAACATGCTACTGTTTTCACTAACATCTGAGTAGAATGACAGTCAAAAAGTGTCCTAAGGTCCTGAGTTTGATCTCCAGCATGCAAAAAAAAAAAAAAAAAAGTTAAGTCCTAAACCCATTATAAATTGTTTCTTGGTTTGTTGTTTTTGTTTCTTGTTTTTTGGTACCAGGAGTCAAACTCAGGACCTTTCGCTGGCAAGGCAGGCAGCGACACCACTGAGCTAAATCCCCAGCCCAACCCATCATAAGTTTAAAACATTGTAGGTCAAATAGCATTTCACACACTTGACCTGCCAAATGCCATGGCTCAACCCAACCTGCCTTGGCCATTCAGGGAACACTCACACCAGCTCCTGCTTAGGAGAGCCAGCTGACACAGGCCTGCTTTCTACCAAGGGCTGATGTCTCCCATCATTGATGGTGGACCCAGCACAACACAGGCAATGCATCCTGTTTCCCTAGGAAGGCATCTCCAGAGGAGACTGCAGCATGGGGCTGCGATGGAGGAAAAGTCATAACTTAAAGTGCTTTATTTACTTAGTGCATGTCATTTTCACACCATCATGAGATAGCACAATCATATGTTGAATCATTATTTGTGGTTTTGTGTTTTGTGCCAGAGATTGACCCCAGGGGCTCGTGTGCTAGGTCCCAGAAAGTCAGTATGCCCTAAACTGAGCAGATTTCCCATCTGTGCCCTTCCTGACTTTGTGAACATGGCGTACAAGTCTGTTCTGTTTGAGGGGTGTCTGGGTGGGCAGTTTTGTTTTTCTTCATAGATGAATACCTCAACTTGTGAATACAAACGTTTGGTGTGGTGCAGCCTTTCCTGCTGCACTCACCTGTTTGGAAATAAGCTCTAAGAGTATATAGCAGCTACGGGCCATAGCCCCAACTATTCCAGAGGCTGAGGCAGGAGAATCCCTTGAACACAGGATTTCAAAGCCAGCTGGGGCAACACAGCAAGACCTTGTCTCAAACACAAGGCAAATAAAGGCTCTGTAACAGGTTGCCTGACTGTCTTTATTACTTGTGGTAAAAGCGGTAGACCATATGCCCAGCAAGTGTGAAGCCCTAGGTTCAGTTCCCAGAACCCCTCCGAAAGAGACATGCTAAAAATTTAGTTTATTTGAGCAAACAGCAATTCGTGAATTGGGTAAGATGAAATCATCAGTGCACCTGCCTCCAGGGCTGGCAGGTGGCAGGACACCAGGAAGAGAGGTTCCTCGGACACAGACGACAACCACCACCGCCGCCACCACCACCACCATCATCATCACCTGCTTATCCCTCCCACATACAAGGAGTGTGCAGTGTGCGGAGCCTTGAGCGCCCTCCTGTGTTTCTGTGGGCGGAGTTGAAGCGCAAGGGGCTGCGGGGATCAGCACCCGGGACAGCGTCCTTGACCACAGAGCTGCCGAAAACCGCAGGACCCAAGTCAGAAGAGCACAGAACTCAAAAGGTTCAGGCCAGCAATTCTCTGGCCCGCAGGGGGAAACTGCCACTGACTAAAACCAGGCAGCGGTCCAGTGTGGAGGGAGCCTCTAACAACCGTGCAGAGTTTTATTCTTAATTCTATTGGTATTTGGTAAGTGCAGTTATTGTATATTTCTAACTTTGTTGGATTTGAGCCACCCTGGGTTTTTTTTTTCTTTATTTCTATGCTGCTTTCATTTTCTTTCTTTTGGTTCTTCTTTACTGGTATCAGTTGATTATAACAAAGATTTTCTCCTTGACCTGATCCCCCTTTTAGTGCGTCTCCCCTCCTATTTCAATTCTGTCCCTCCTTACTCTTAGTTCTTCTCCACGTTACTCTTCCTCTCTTCCTCCATCTATCTAATGGTACAAATATAACGGGGGCTGGTATATGTGCATTAGAGAATAAGAATCAGTGCTATAAATAAGACAGTATCATTTAAGGGCATGTCAGGGTAATCCTTAACAAAACTGGGCTTAGAGGACCCAAACAAAATTACCCCCAAACATAAGAACAGACACCGACAACCTCAGTCCTAACTACAACTGCACACATCCTTCTGCCTACAAAAACACTCTCCCCAGCTCCCTCGACACCCCAACTGTAAAATAACTCCGACAGAGTCTGACTTCCTGCCTGTTTTCCTTTTACCCATTGACATTTTTCTTACCTTCCTGTCCTACTGAAATACCCCCGCCCTTTATCCTCCCCCACCCACACACACCCCAAGTCCCATGTCCCAGGACAATACAGTCTGTATGGGCACTGATAAAGGGTGAGATTATCAAAAACAATTGTTAATGTCTATGATTGATGGATGCTTGATATTTATCACCTTACAACAGTGACAGGGCCCACTCCAATTAAACTGAATAGCTTGGGCAGGGGATTTAGTTCAGTGGTGCTGCCACCTGCCCCGCAAATGCAAGGACCAGAGTTCAATCCCTGGTACCAAAAGAAAAAAAAATTGAATAGCTTGAAGGGCTGAACAGTGTGGCTGGACAAACAAAACCACAAACACATCACTGGACAACAATCTAAACAGTTCCTCATATAAACAACAAGCTCCTCTCAATCTATTTGACCCCCAACCTCAGCACACACACACACACACACACACACACACAAAAAAAAAATATATATATATATGTAATATAAACATGTGTGTATGTTTGTGTGTGTTTTATGGCTTGTGTTTAGATGTCCCTCCAGAGGTGTGTGACTGAATGTGTGATCTAGTGTGTGACTGATTAATGATGGCGCTAGGCCTGAGAGCACTAGGATTAAGAGTGTGAGTGCTTCCTACTCCAAGAAGTCTGAATAAGATAAAGGGGGCAGAAAGATCCTGTTAAGGTCTCTTGTTGCTTTCACTACCATATGGGCCCCTGAACTGTTTCTCCTGCAATGACCCTCTGTCATGTGCCACTCTGCCTTGGAGCCAGCCGATTACAGACTGAAACCTCTACAAACTGTGAGCTAAATAAACCTTTCCACCTTTGACTTTGGGTGTCAGGTATTTTGTCTCATCAATGAGAGAAAAGTAACTAATACAACATGTATATACATGTATCACACAGTTTGTGTGTGTGTGTGTGTGTGCATGTGCGTTTGGTATTTACACACAATGGAGTCCTAATCCACCACAAAAGAGGATAAACTTGAATCGTTTGTGAGACCATCATGTAAAGTGAAATAAATCAGATGCAAAATCTTAAATAGCTCATGGTTTCTCTTACATGAGAAATTAAAAGTATACATAAAGAGAAAAATAAATAACAGGAGACAGGGAATTAGATGTTTTGCAAATGGAAAGGGGACAAAGAGATGGAGGAAGGGAAGAGAAGACAAAATAAACATGAGGGTGTGTCGTGCATTTTACCAATTCCCCATGATGGATATAATATCTATGGACTATAAACATGGGCTAATAAACATTTCAAAAATTTTAAAAGGTTATCAAGTGTACTTAACTGAAAACATCAAAAGGTGTTCCTGACATGTTCCCCTCGCCCTCCTGACTGCACATCCTCACTTCCTGGAATCACAGCGAAAAGCGAATTTGCCCAGCTGGGATTCATTCCTAAGAATGCCTTTTTTGCTCCACTCTGTTTTAACAGATCCTCAGCTTCCAAACTCAACCACTGTGAAAAAAAAATCGGTCATAATACATATAATTTTTTAAACCCAGGGAAACTTTTATTTCATGAATTGTTAGGCCACTGCGAGGTAAAATGTGTCTAAAGAAGCCCATATACTTTTCATTTAGCTACAGTTAGATGCGTTTAGGAATCCACAGTGTGGGATCCAGGTAGGGACCCAGAGTGTCCCACCACCTCCTCCACACCCCACACTCAGCATAGTGGCTCCACTAAGGGGAACCAGCCTCAGGGCCACCATGTTCAATGGCATAGAAGCCGTGCTCCTCGATAGCCCGGTACAGCACGATGTACTTGGAGGCCAGCCTTGTCCTTGGGACCACATATTTCTCTGTGAATTCACTCTTGTTCAGTTGTTCCTTGCCCTCGGTGGCCAGAATGCAATTAATGAATGTGAGGGTGTAGCTGTAGCAGTTGTGGTGGTCTTCCTCATACCTTCCAAAATAGGGCACAGACAGGAAGAGACAGAGATTAATTTGTTGACTTAATCCTCTAGCCTCAGCCTCCCCAGTATCTGGCACCTCGGGCACATACTACACACCAGGCTCCTGAGAAGGTGCAGGAATGGGCCATGGAGCTGCAAAAGGACTTTCCTAATGGAACTTGGTTCCCAGATGGTTGTGGAGCTTGGAGAGGTGCAGTTATGTGGGATGACTGGCATCTTGAGCTACTTACTATGGGGGACAAGTAGGAGACACTCCCAGAGTGTTCAGGATGCAGTTATGGGAAAACTGTCCACTGGGAGAACTTAACTGGTGTGGGACTCTAGATTTTAGGAGTGGAATACTACCTAAGTTTATATCCTCCCACAACACCTAAACCCATTAAAGGGAAGCCTCAGAAACCTGGAAACCTATAAAGGCTCTACACAGCCTCTAAAGTGTTGAAGGAGAAATGAATTGAGAAATGAATTGCAAACTTTAGAACCAAAAACTTTTGGAGCTCTAAATATTTTTTACATTTTAAACATTGATGAATCTTTAAGAGTGAGCTTTGCTGTATATGTGTAAAAATACCAACTAAACAGACAAAATACCAACTAAATGGAGTGTAACACTCTTGTGACAGTTCATCCTAATTGTCAACCTGACCAGATGGAGACACATCTGGAGAGGGGACCGGATCGTGGGGTGCTGTGTTAATGGACTAATCCCAGGGTCCATGGCTGAATGTGCTGAGAGGAAGCAGGGCCTGGTCAGAGGACTGGTCGCTGCTGGGCCCCGTTACTGGGGCTCTTTCCAAATTGGTCTGCTCTCTAGCCACAACAAGGTGAGCCACTGTCCTCCACCAGGCCCTTTCGCCATGATGGCCACGCCTTTCAGCCAGCTGATCACGGACTGCACCCTCCGACACAGCAAATCAAACCTCTTCTCCTTTATACTATGGGTGTCAGGTATGGTGTCTCATTGACTAGGAAGTTGACCAAGACAGCTCTGATCTCTGACCCTTTCAGCTCTGAACTGCCAGGCCCGGGGATGCAGCTCTGTGGTATCACCCCCAGCACCACCCAAACCTCCCCACCGGAGCTGAGGCTTTGCTCTGTGTGTGCTGGCTCCCGCAGAAAACCCAAAGCACTCTACCCTGCCACAGATCTCCATGGTGCCACAGGGGCCAGCCCAACCATGAGGTCACTCACATACCTGTGCGGCAGCCAGGCCCCGTGGGCTGAGAAGTCCTCCAGGTACCTGTCCCACTGGTCTTGCAGCCCTAGCATACCAGGCTGTAGAAGTGGCACAGCCAGGCTCTGCTCCCAGCCTGTCCTGTCACGCTGCACACCACGCCCATCATAGTTGTACACCACTCCTGCAGACAGAGCCATCAGCCTTCAGGGAGGTGTGTCTGCAGGAAGCACCCAGCAAAGGACAGCAGCCAACCAGGGACTGCCCGTGTTGGAGAATGGAGTCACACCTTCCTCATGTCACCATGGACAGGGGCAGGCACAGCAGGCGCGAGAGGCAGGACCCCTCTCCTAAGAGGGAGACAGAGTTTCCCAGAGGCATGGGGGTGATGCGGGTGAAGCTCTCCACTTTGGCAGCACAGCTTTTCCCTCAGGGACCCCAGTTCTTGCCCTGCCGGCTGTGACATTGCTCCCACAGAGAGGGAGACAGTTAGGAGCTGGAGTGCAGCTCAATGGCAGAGCACAGGCTTAGCAGGCTTGAGCCCAAGGTTCATCCCCAGCACTCACCCCACCCGCTAAAAGCCTAGTGCCAGGGGCTGGGGATTTAGCTCAGTGGTTCTGCCGCCTGCCTCTCAAGTGCAAGGTCTCAAGTTTGATCCCTGGTACAAAAAAAAAA